TTAAATGAAAATACGAACAAAAGCACCAAATTTTGGTTGTAAGTCTGGCAGGACTGGGCTTTGCCTTTGGCGAGAGAATATGATGTTGACATAATTGAGAAGTATCCAATTTTGTCATGCTAATAATAAACAAGTAATCATGCGATGTTGCTCGTACAATTTGGGATTAATAGTACTCGTGATGTTTGGAAATTTTGAGATTACCTATACTAATATCGTACCTTTTCGATCTGCACAATTTTATATGGCTGTAATTTTTCTTCATAATTTCAATTTCATTTTTTTGAGCAGTTACCCTGTCTAAAAGATTCGCTTTTTCTTCCTCATTCTCAGAAAGTTTTTTCCTCGATTCATCGAGTTGCATTCCCAAAGACGAGAGTTGTTTCTTCGCTTCAAAACACTCGGTCGTGAGATCTTCAACTTGGTTCTCGAGGGATGAGATCTTGTCCTCCATGAATTCCTGTTCTTCTTTCGTCACTGTTTCCGTCTACGACAAAAACAACATAATGAATATTGATAAAAATAACGTTGCTTGTGGATGGCAATTTTGATGATAATATAAGTAAGTGTGTAGGTGTTGCAGTGGTTAGTGCATGCGTCTTTCATCTCCGCGACCGAGGTTTGATTCCTGCAATATGCAGTCTGATTATAATTTCACCTCAGTCACATGTGAGAAGAGTGCTTCCAGTTTAACAAACACCACAGGTTTTCTCCAAGTGCTCCAGTTTCCTCCTGTGGTAACACTGGACCTCTGGGAAAAACAATTCAGTAGAGCTAGTTAGTATGAATAAAGTTAGTTTAGTGTAGGTTTCCTCCTGTAGTAACAATGGATCAATAAGAGATGACCCTTACTGGACCTCTAGGAAGAACAGTTTAGAAATGATAGAGCTACCCAGTATGAATAAAGTTAGTTTAGTGTAGGTTTCCTCCTGTAGTAATAATGGATCAATAAGAGATGACCCTTACTGGACCTCTAGGAAGAACAGTTTAGAACTGATAGAGCTACCCAGTATGAATAAAGTTAGTTTAGTTTAGGTTTTCTCCTGTAGTAACACGGGATCAATAAGAGATGACCCTTACTGGACCTCTAGGAAGAACAGTTTAGAACTGATAGAGCTATCCAGTATGAATAAAGTTAGTTTAGTTTAGGTTTTCTCCTGTAGTAACACGGGATCAATAAGAGATGATCCTTACTGGACCTCTATCGGGAGAACAGTTTAGAACTGATAGAGCTATCCAGTATAAATAAAGTTAGTCTAGTCTATCTACTGAACAAAGCTCACATCAATAAAGAGTGCTTCCAGTTTGACAATATTCTAGGGTTATGATATTTTTTGTGTGTTTCTTTTGATGTTATGTACTCAGGTGAATATAATGTTCTTGATGTTACTCTGAGTGTATATCCACACCGGGCAGGCTGAGAAGTTAGCCTGTTCCCGCGACCCTTGGGATACTAGAGCACATTGGTATCGAAGGTACTACACTTAGTTCCGAAATACCACACACTCGAACAGACTTGGCCTCGTAGCTCAGTTGGCAGAACATTGGACTAGTATCTCAAAGGTCGCGGGTTCGATTCCCACCGTGGTCAAGCAAACTTTTCAGCCTGCCTGGTGTGGATATACACTCAGAGGAACATCAACAACATGATCATTCTAGTGTTATTTGACTATTTCTCCTTGTATTCTTCCTGAGGTAGTTGTATTCCAATCAATCCAAAGCTTTCTTGACTAAGCGCTGCACGATTTCTTCGGCTGTTCCGGTTCTGTTTCCTCCTGTGGTAACACTGTAAATAATCAACCTGGAAGCACTCTTCTCACATGTGACCGTGGTGAAATTATAGTCAGACAATAGACCTTTCCCCTTTTAAGTGAAATTTTGATCTAGACTAGCCTGGACAAAAATTTCATCACAGCTTGAAAGAGCATCACAAAATTAGTAATATTCCAAAGTTTCGTTACGAAATGTTGTAAAATGCGGATAATATAGCC